TTGGTGTGAGTGGTGGTGTGAGTGGTGGTGGTGGTGGCAGTGTCGGTATTGGTGTGAGTGGTGGTGTGAGTGGTGGTGGTGGTGGCAGTGTCGGTATTGGTGTGAGTGGTGGTGTGAGTGGTGGTGGTGGTGGCAGTGTCGGTATTGGTGTGAGTGGTGGTGTGAGTGGTGGTGGTGGTGGCAGTGTCGGTATTGGTGTGAGTGGTGGTGGTGTGAGTGGTGGTGGTGGTGGTGGTGGCAGTGTCGGTATTGGTGTGAGTGGTGGTGTGAGTGGTGGCGGTGATGGTGGTGGTGTCGGTATTGGTGTGAGTGGTGGTGTGAGTGGTGGTGGTGGTGGCAGTGTCGGTATTGGTGTGAGTGGTGGTGTGAGTGGTGGTGGTGGTGGCAGTGTCGGTATTGGTGTGAGTGGTGGTGGTGTGAGTGGTGGTGGTGGTGGTGGTGGCAGTGTCGGTATTGGTGTGAGTGGTGGTGTGAGTGGTGGTAGTGATGGTGGTGGTGTCGGTATTGGTGTGAGTGGTGGTGTGAGTGGTGGTGGTGGTGGCAGTGTCGGTATTGGTGTGAGTGGTGGTGTGAGTGGTGATGGTGGTAGCAGTGTCGGTATTGGTGTGAGTGGTGGTGTGAGTGGTGGTAGTGATGGTGGTGGTGTCGGTATTGGTGTGAGTGGTGGTGTGAGTGGTGGTGGTGGTGGCAGTGTCGGTATTGGTGTGAGTGGTGGTGTGAGTGGTGGTGTGAGTGGTGGTAGTGATGGTGGTGGTGTCGGTATTGGTGTGAGTGGTGGTGTGAGTGGTGGTAGTGATGGTGGTGGTGTCGGTATTGGTGTGAGTGGTGGTGTGAGTGGTGGTGGTGGTGGCAGTGTCGGTATTGGTGTGAGTGGTGGTGTGAGTGGTGGTGTGAGTGGTGGTAGTGATGGTGGTGGTGTCGGTATTGGTGTGAGTGGTGGTGTGAGTGGTGGTGGTGGTGGCAGTGTCGGTATTGGTGTGAGTGGTGGTGTGAGTGGTGGTAGTGATGGTGGTGGTGTCGGTATTGGTGTGAGTGGTGGTGTGAGTGGTGGTGGTGGTGGCAGTGTCGGTATTGGTGTGAGTGGTGGTGTGAGTGGTGGTGTGAGTGGTGGTAGTGATGGTGGTGGTGTCGGTATTGGTGTGAGTGGTGGTGTGAGTGGTGATGGTGGTGGCAGTGTCGGTATTGGTGTGAGTGGTGGTGTGAGTGGTGGTGGTGGTGGCAGTGTCGGTATTGGTGTGAGTGGTGGTGTGAGTGGTGGTGGTGGTGGCAGTGTCGGTATTGGTGTGAGTGGTGGTGTGAGTGGTGGTGGTGGTGGCAGTGTCGGTATTGGTGTGAGTGGTGGTGTGAGTGGTAGTGATGGTGGTGGTGTCGGTATTGGTGTGAGTGGTGGTGTGAGTGGTGGTGGTGGCAGTGTCGGTATTGGTGTGAGTGGTGGTGTGAGTGGTGGTGGTGGTGGCAGTGTCGGTATTGGTGTGAGTGGTGGTGTGAGTGGTGGTGGTGGTGGCAGTGTCGGTATTGGTGTGAGTGGTGGTGTGAGTGGTGGTGGTGGTGGCAGTGTCGGTGTTGGTGTGTGTGGTGGTGTGAGTGGTGGTGGTGGTGGCAGTGTCGGTATTGGTGTGAGTGGTGGTGGTGTGAGTGGTGGTGGTGGTGGTGGTGGTGGCAGTGTCGGTATTGGTGTGAGTGGTGGTGTGAGTGGTGGTAGTGATGGTGGTGGTGTCGGTATTGGTGTGAGTGGTGGTGTGAGTGGTGGTGGTGGTGGCAGTGTCGGTATTGGTGTGAGTGGTGGTGTGAGTGGTGGTGGTGGTGGCAGTGTCGGTATTGGTGTGAGTGGTGGTGGTGTGAGTGGTGGTGGTGGTGGTGGTGGCAGTGTCGGTATTGGTGTGAGTGGTGGTGTGAGTGGTGGTAGTGATGGTGGTGGTGTCGGTATTGGTGTGAGTGGTGGTGTGAGTGGTGGTGGTGGTGGCAGTGTCGGTATTGGTGTGAGTGGTGGTGTGAGTGGTGATGGTGGTAGCAGTGTCGGTATTGGTGTGAGTGGTGGTGTGAGTGGTGGTAGTGATGGTGGTGGTGTCGGTATTGGTGTGAGTGGTGGTGTGAGTGGTGGTGGTGGTGGCAGTGTCGGTATTGGTGTGAGTGGTGGTGTGAGTGGTGGTGTGAGTGGTGGTAGTGATGGTGGTGGTGTCGGTATTGGTGTGAGTGGTGGTGTGAGTGGTGGTGGTGGTGGCAGTGTCGGTATTGGTGTGAGTGGTGGTGTGAGTGGTGGTAGTGATGGTGGTGGTGTCGGTATTGGTGTGAGTGGTGGTGTGAGTGGTGGTAGTGATGGTGGTGGTGTCGGTATTGGTGTGAGTGGTGGTGTGAGTGGTGGTGGTGGTGGCAGTGTCGGTATTGGTGTGAGTGGTGGTGTGAGTGGTGGTGTGAGTGGTGGTAGTGATGGTGGTGGTGTCGGTATTGGTGTGAGTGGTGGTGTGAGTGGTGGTGGTGGTGGCAGTGTCGGTATTGGTGTGAGTGGTGGTGTGAGTGGTGGTAGTGATGGTGGTGGTGTCGGTATTGGTGTGAGTGGTGGTGTGAGTGGTGGTGGTGGTGGCAGTGTCGGTGTTGGTGTGAGTGGTGGTGTGAGTGGTGGTGTGGGTGGTGGTAGTGATGGTGGTGGTGTCGGTATTGGTGTGAGTGGTGGTGTGAGTGGTGATGGTGGTGGCAGTGTCGGTATTGGTGTGAGTGGTGGTGTGAGTGGTGGTGGTGGTGGCAGTGTCGGTATTGGTGTGAGTGGTGGTGTGAGTGGTGGTGTGAGTGGTGGTAGTGATGGTGGTGGTGTCGGTATTGGTGTGAGTGGTGGTGTGAGTGGTGGTGGTGGTGGCAGTGTCGGTATTGGTGTGAGTGGTGGTGTGAGTGGTGGTGGTGGTGGTGGTGGTGGTGTGAGTGGTGGTGTGAGTGGTGGTGGTGGTGGTGGTGTGAGTGGTGGTGTGAGTGGTGGTGGTGGTGGCAGTGTCGGTATTGGTGTGAGTGGTGGTGTGAGTGGTGGTGGTGGTGGCAGTGTCGGTATTGGTGTGAGTGGTGGTGTGAGTGGTGGTGGTGGTGGCAGTGTCGGTATTGGTGTGAGTGGTGGTGTGAGTGGTGGTGGTGGTGGTGGTGGTGTCGGTATTGGTGTGAGTGGTGGTGTGAGTGGTGGTGGTGGTGGCAGTGTCGGTATTGGTGTGAGTGGTGGTGTGAGTGGTGGTGGTGGTGGTGGTGTCGGTATTGGTGTGAGTGGTGGTGTGAGTGGTGGTGGTGGTGGCAGTGTCGGTATTGGTGTGAGTGGTGGTGTGAGTGGTGGTGGTGGTGGTGGTGGTGTCGGTATTGGTGTGAGTGGTGGTGTGAGTGGTGGTGGTGGTGGTGGTGGTGTCGGTATTGGTGTGAGTGGTGGTGTGAGTGGTGGTGGTGGTGGCAGTGTCGGTATTGGTGTGAGTGGTGGTGGTGTGAGTGGTGGTGGTGGTGGTGCTGGGGGTTGCACTCAGGGGAGCGGTGGCGCAGTGATTATCGCACTGCGCTAAGAAACCTTGCGGCCCGAGTTCGATTCCGACCATGTGATCGGCTCAACGGGTCTCCCCCCACCTAGGTGAACTCATCCTTAAATGGTCACCTCCCTGCCTGCGTATACATCTGCAGTGGGGACACAAAGGCGGCCGGGCGAGATGCTCTCAACTCCACCCCCATTGCACAGTGCAGGCCTTAATAGGCGCTCGCTAACATCCCTTGCCCCGACAGTCTATGTCCACGTGTGTTGATGGTGGTGGTGTCCGAGCGATCGTGACCACGTTGTGGTGGTGGTTGTTATGGGGGCGATCATGTTGGTGGTGGTGGTAATCGAGGTTGTGGTGAGGGTGCTGATGGTGGGGAGCGGTGGTGTAGCGGTTAGGGCTACAGCTGCGCGAGAAACCCGGTGACCCGAGTTGGATTACCACTCACGGCCGCCAACACCGGTGACGAATATCTGAACCGGTCCTGGGCCTCCCCTAGGTTGACTTAGCCTCAAATGAGTGCCCCGGTGCGGTGTGTAGAAAACATCGCCACTGGGGAGACAAAGGTGGCCGGGCGTGGTGTTGGCCACCCACCCCCTCGTGTGCCGTGCCGGCCTTCGTAGGTGCTCGCTAACAGCACTTACCCCAACAGTCCGTTGAGGCTACACGGGGGATCTTTGTCTTTGTTATTTTCTGCTGAGCGCGGCGATGGTGGGGTCGGTGCCGTCACCTCCTGGTCAGCGAGCCTCCGTCACTTCACGTGGCCTCAACGTGCACCTGGCCTGGCACAGGCGCCGTGGTGCCGTCACCGTCACTTCGTGGAAAGCGGCTGCTGTTGGTATTGGATGGTGGTTGGTGGTGGTGTTCAGGGTGTCGAAGGCGGTCCACTCAATGTGTGTGCGTGTGATTCTTATGATCGCGGTCCGGCTGTTGTTTATTGTGGGATGTGACCGTTGTCCGGATTGTTGGTCTCGGGTGTTTGTTCCACTGTGGGTCCGCTCGTCATCCCGCGTGCCGCTCGGGCTGTCAGCCGGACCATGGCCCCGGCAGTCCTGGGGCTGCACGCGTGCGTGCGTTGGACTTCTCTCGCACCGTACGTAGTCAACAGCGCCTCCATCCATGGCAGCTTGCGCGGCTGCCCTCAGCCAAGGAGGGTTTGCGACTCGGGATGCTGCGGTGGGTGTCGAGCTGCTTGCAGCCGGGGCTGTTGGAGGCTCGCGGCAGCATGGAGGGGGGTGAGAGGGGAGGGGCTGTAGGGGGATTGGGGGGGAGGGGGCGGTGGGAGGACCCCACGTCCTCGCCGCTGCTCACGGCAGCGGCAGCAGGAGGGTCCAGTCGCTGCAGAGGCGAGCGAGGAGTCTCGGGGAAGAGGCGAGTCGGAGACCACCTCGTCTGGCTCCTCTCTTCCTCCCCCCCCCAACAGCCCCTCCCACCTCCGCCCCCCCCCCACCTTTTCCACTCTCATCATCCACCACCCCCCCTATAGCCCCCCCCCCCACAAAGCATTTCATGGAGGGGGGGCAGGACGCGCCCGGGGGGGGCGCTCAGCCACTCGACCGCGTCACCACCTACTTCTTCATCGACAACATCCTCAGGCCAGACTTTGGTCGCAGGAAGGAGGGCGGTGGTGGTGGTGGTGGCGGTGGTGGTGGCGGTGGTGGCCGTGGTTATCCAGAGCTCACAGGTGGTGGTGGTGGTGGTGGTAAGGAGCGAACCGGCGGATCAACGGGGGGCTCCTCCCTGCAGCGGTCATACGAAGTCCACCACAACCACCACAACCACCTGCACCACCTGCACCACCAGCACCTCCAGCACCATCCGCGGCAGCGCAGAGTGACACGGGGGGGTGCAGCAGCAGCAGGAGGAGGAGGTGGAGGAGTTTCGGCAGAGTCCTCGGGTCGCAAGGACGACGGAGATGAAGAGGAACGGGGGGAGGAGGAGGAGGAGGTGGTGGTTGTGGTCGAGGAGGAAGGGGAAGAAGAGGAGAGGTCTGCGCTGAGCCGTTGTCCAGAGCGGGTCACGGCGGGACCCGAGGAGCAGCGAGCCGAGGAGGGGGAGGGAGGGGTGGCCGCGGAGGGCGCGGCCGCCGAGGCCCGCCGGCAGCAGCAGCTGATGTGGCCCGCGTGGGTTTACTGCACGCGGTACTCGGACAGACCGTCTTCGGGTAGGCACGCAGACACACACACACACATATACACACACGGATACACACAGACACATACAGATATACACATACAGATACACACATACACAGAGATACACACAGACACACACACAGACACACAGATACACACATACACACACAGACGCATACACACGCAGACACGCAGACACACACACACAGACACACACAGACACACACATACACACACATATACACAAAGATACAAAGATTCCCCCATATAGCCTTAACAGACTGTAGGGGCAAGTGCTGTTAGCGAGCACCTATGAAGGCCGGAACGGTACACGAGGGGGTGAGTGGTCAGCACCACGCCCGACCGCCTTTGTCTCCCCAGTGGCGATGTTTACACTCCGCACCAGGTCCTCATTTGATTCTGAGTCGACCTAGGGGAGGCCCGGGACCGGTTCACATAATCGTCGCTGGTGTTGGCCGTGAGCTATACACAAAGATATACACAGATACACACAGATATATATACAAAACAAAGAACAAAGATCTCCCGTCTAGCCTGTAACAGACTGCTGGGGCAAGTGCTGTTAGCGAGCACCTATGAAGGCCGGCACGGCACGCGAGGGGGTGGGTGGCAGCACCACGCCCGGCCGCCTTTGTCTCTCCAGATTTTAATACTGCACCAGGTGCTCATTTTGAGGCTGAGTCGACCTAGCGGAGGCACAGGATCGGTTCAGATAATCGTTACTGGTGTTGGCCGTGAACGGGAATCTAACTCGGGTTGTCGGGTTCGTCGCGCAGCACGCTAACCGCTACACTACCGCTCCCCAGATATACACTCACAGATATACACTAAGATACACACAGATACACACACATATACAAAGACATAAACACGCACATACATACACGCAGATATATGTGTGTATCTGTGTATATACACAGATATACACACAGATGCATACACAGATACACACACATATATACCAAGACATAAACACGCACAGACATACACACAGATACACACATATGTATACACAGATGCACTTACAGATACACACAGATGCACTCACAGATACACTCACAGATACACTGATAGATACACACAGATACATTCAGATGGACAGATGTAATACAAGATACCTACAAATATACAACAACACAGACAAATATCCCCTGCATAGCCGTAACCGACTGTTGGGGCAAGGGCTGTTCGCGGGCACCTTTGAAGATATACACAGAAGACGAAGATACACACACGCACAGCCTTACAGCCATGCACGCACACACAGACACACGCAGGGCTTACACACACGACAAAGACAAAGATCCACCGTATAGCCTGACCCGACTGTTGGGGCAAGTGCTGTTAGCGAGCACCTATGAAGGCGGCACGGCACACGAGGCGGTGGGTGGCCCGCACCACGCCCGGCCGCCTCTGTCTCCCCAGTGGCGATGTTTACACACCGCACCAGGTACTCATTTGAGGCTGAGTCGACCTAGGGGAGGCCCAGAACCGGTTCAGATAATCGTTACTGGTGTTGGCCATGAGCGGGAATCGAACTCGGGTCACCGGGTTCGTAGCGTAGCGTAGCGCGAACCACTACACAACCACTTCAACACACACACATATATATACACATATACACACACACATGTATATACACACTGAGCACGTTCGTCAGTGACACTGTGTGTGTGACCTTCAGCGTTTATAATAGGCGACGTTTCGGGCAAAAGGCCCTTCTTCAGACTACAGAGAGAGAGATAGAGAGCTAGAGACACCGTGCACCAATCAGCATCGCAGTCGGAGCGAGCCATCAGCGCTCAACCACCGCGCTCACAGCCCTGCACAGCAACCGCAGTGGAAATTCCACATTCCTAGGACGGGGCGGCGTGTTGATGGACCGTATGGAGCACCACCACCTCGCTCACGCCCGACCACGAATTGACCTCGAGATGCGCGCGCTGGACCCACGCAGCCTCTCCCCTTGAACAAAGGGGGCCCGCTAGCCCAGCCAGCGGAGGCTCCGGTAGCCCCGGGTCGATCCACTGCTGGATGAAGTCAGTGTTTGCCAGCGCCCGGCGCGTCGACCAAGCCGCGCCGCGTGGCGACGCTCGCAACGACGGCGAACTGATTCGCGCGCTGCGTTTTAGAACAAATGTATGCACTGTGAAAATTGCACATATATACACACCACATATATACTGCACATATACATATAACACGTAGTAGGTTATATTATTAGGTCTTTAGGTAAAGTTACGTAGATAGGTTCAAAAATAATAACAAAAAACTACGACGTTTCGATCCCAACACAAGCGTCGTAGTATTTTCGTTATTTTTTGTTGTTTTCTTTGAACCTATCTACGTGATTATACCGAATGACCCAAGAATATTAATTCGTGAAGTCACGAAAGCTTTAAGTCTCAAGACGTAATCGGCTTTCGCGATAAATATTTTCCACAATGAATGTTTTTTGGGTTAGATCGCGTTCTGTTTACGTGACAAACCTTTCTGATTGGCCGTGTCGGGTGGTGGTGGCGGGTTGAACGACGCATTCATTGTGGATATTTATCGCGAAAGCCGACTACGTCTTGAGACTTAAGGCTTTCGTGACTGCACGAATTTATATTCTTGGGTCTCTCTGTAAAGTCACGTAGATTGGTTCAAATAAAATAACAAAAAAATCACGACGGTCGTCTTCCTGAAGACGACCGCTTGTGTTGCGATCGAAACGTCGTCGTTTTCTGTTATTCTCTTTGAACCTATCGACGTGACTTTACCGACAGACCCAAAGAATACGACGCATTTATATTTACGCGATCTAACCCAACAACCGCCTTCTATGATGGATACTCTATATAGTTATGCGTGTGTTTACACGTAAATATGTGTGTGTAAAACACATTTTATACCCATAAATGTGTTTTACACACAAAAAAATTACACATCCCCATCAGCCAGCCACGCGACCTTTGGGAGTGTGGTATTCCAGCAGCATGGCTTTTACCACATTCAACGTCTCGTCAGCAGCACGGCCAGGCTGCTTGAACCCAATGCTGGTGAACCGCCGGATGTCCATTGGCGAGGATTCTTCTCTGTTAGATGCGGAGGCCCAGGTTTGACACTCCACGTGTGTCTCTGTGCAGAATTCCCTTCGCAGCGTGCGGAGCCGGGCGTGCTCATCATACACACCCAATATACACACCCAATATACACACCCAATATACACACCCAATATAAACACCCAATACACACACCCAATATACACACGCAATACATACTATTATCATCGTATTCGCATTGTCAATGGCAATGTTAATGATTTTATATGCGTAAAAAACCAAGACAAAGATCCCCCGTGTAGTCTTAACAGAATGTCGGGGCAAGTGCTGTTAGCGAGTAGCACCTATGAAGGCCGGCACGGCAGATGAGGGGGTGTAGATGGACAGAAACCACGCCCGGCCGCCTTTGTCTCCCCAGTGCTGATGGTCGCATTCCGCACCAGGTACTCATTTAAGGCTGCAAACCTTTTGCAAGGAATCATGCATTGCGTTAACCACGTATACTCGTGGCGAAGATGCGAACAAAAAAATTGTATTTGAAACTGATGGGTCCACACCAGAGACAGCTTTCTTTAGAGCCTCGTCTCAAACAGCGTTAGACCAGAGGACAACGGCAAAAGGCGAACAGCGAAACAGAGAATTTAGAACTTGGGACACTTTGGTTCGTGACGTAGCGTGATAACCATTGCGCCACCGCTCCCCATCATGCAAACAAAGATACCCCGGATAGCCCTAATAGACTGTTGGGGCAAGTGCTGTTAGCGAGCAGCTATGAAGGCCGGCACAGTACACGAGGGGGTGGGTGGCCAACACCACGCCCGACAGCCTTTGTCTCCCCAGTGGGGATGTTTACACACTGCACCATGTATTCATTTGAGGCTGAGTCGACCCCATAATGCACGCACGCACACACACATATGCAGTGCACGTACGGAATCAAACGCCCACGAGACGGAGCTGGCACTTGCACAGCAACTCAGATCACGCCTCATACAACAGATACCCGCGGCACAATCGTGACTGTCAGTCGAATTGCTGCTGGGTTACATCCACTGCTGGATGAAGTCTTTGCCACGCAGAATTTGGTCGGTCGTGCGGGCTGATCCCCCCCCGCCCCTGCCGCCCCCCTCCCACGCGTGATACCCACACACGGGCAGAGGGGACGGGGGGAGGGGAACTTCATCCAGCAGTGGATTGACCGAGGACCACTGGAGCCGCTGCTGAGCGGCCTTTGCGAAGAGGTCGAGAGAGTTCGAGGGAAATCACGAACGGACTCTGGCAACGACGTTTCCCCAGAGACCCACGTCTCACTCGACGTATCCCGGCGGGTTTCGGAATTATGGGCATAAGGCACTGCCACGAGAATGCACGGTGGCCAGACGTTAACTACCTCGCCTGGTATTTTATAGAGGCGGTCGTGGGTTCGATGCGGACCCCGACGCCCGCTGCTGGATGTTTGGGAGCTTTCGGTGTCTTTCTCTCTCCCCGTTAGAGCGTGGATTTGTCTCCGGGTCCTCTGGTTCAATCCCCCCGCCCCCCACATTTAGAATCAACATCACGCGTTCGTCGGTCACACTACGTGTGTGTGACACCTTTAGCGTTGCACATTTCCACGTGAAAAGCCACTTTGTTGAGTTGTCACATGTGATAGCCAGATCGCTTCCAGAAAAAGAGCTTTCGTAGCTCAGTGGGCCTTACCTAGCAACATACAAAATGTTCAGAGTTGTTTTAGTTTATATAATCATGATAATAAGAATAATCCTGCATTGTTCACCTATGTTTGTCATCCTACGGACAGATTTAAACTCGGAGATGGAGAGATAATTCCAGGTACAGCTACTCGGGACTATTCCGAATGAGATTAATCTAATTAAATTACTCTTTGGTTCTTTCGGTAAGGTCACCTAGAAAATCAAATAAAACAATACTAGAATACGACGTTTCGGTTGCAACACAAGCAGCCA